TCAATTCCCTCTGAACACCAATAATTCATAGATTTGGTCTTTTCAGGTAATCTATATCTTGAGGCAATCTTCATTTTTTCATTATTTTCCTCCTCTGTATTTTCAAGTACCCTGTCTTTGAATTCACTGATTCATTCTTCTGCTTAATCTATTTCAGGTGTTAAAAGCTTCTAATGACTTTTCAGCTCAGCAAATGTATTTCTCAGTTCTAAGATTTGTTTGATTTTTTAATATTATTTAATTACTTTGTTGAATATCTCTGATAAACTTATGAACTGTCTTTCTTTGTTATCTTAGAGATCACTAAATTTCCTTAGAACAGCTACTTTAATTATTTGTCAGAGAGCTCACATATTGCCGTGTCCTTATGGTTAGTCATTGATTCCCTGCTTTGTTTGTTTGGGGAGGTCATGGTTCCCTGTTTGCGGTTGCTTCTTCTGGATTTATGCCTGTGTCTTTGCAATGAAGGATTAGCTATTTATTCCTGTCTTCTCTGTCTGGCTTGCTTGAGTCTTTATTGGTTATGTTTGCTTAGAAATTCTTAGTAATTTACCTATTTAATTTCTTGTTTTTCTCCTAGTAGGCAACTGCCTCCTTTCTGGCACTAGATGATGCTTTAAGCTCATGGTCTCAGCTCTAGTAAACAATCACAGTGCCACCCATCTGAATGGGGAGGTCCCAAAAGGGATAGTCTAGTAATGTGGGAAGGCTGCCTAGGGGTTCTGCCCAGAGGACCTGCATACAATCTGGTACTGCTGAACAGCCACTGTGATTTGAGGTCTTTTTTGGCTGAGTTACAGAACACAGTTTCCATGGCTGGTGATGGTGGTCCCACCTTACCCCTTTGTCTCTAGCTGTCCTGAGGGATATTTCTCCCTTCAAGCATTTGCAATGCTTCCCGTGGGTTGGGGTAGGAACAGGTCTCATTCTAGGGTACCCAAGATGGTGGGGAAGCTAGTTATCCACCTTGAACTTACTTTTTATGATGTAGAAACCATGAGTTGGGGAAATTTTCCGCATACTTGCTGCTGGGCAGATTTGGGGGCGGGGCATCGCAGATATGGAAGTCCAATTCTCTTACCATCTGCTCAGAGTTTTTTCACATCTCTGTGGCTCCAGGAATTGTCTCATCTACATATTTGAGTTTTGGGATATTGTTGGTGATAATCTCAGCACTGTATATTTATTTTTAGTTTTCTGTGACAGGGAATAAAGCCAGCTTGCTTCTATGCCACCGGAAACCTCTACAGTATCTGTCTGTCAATCTAATCTGATTTCTTATGTTTTCTACTGAATTATGAGAGCCAGGGACCATGTTATTAGGCATTTTTTTATGCTTGGCAAATATGTCTAGACAAATTGCATGTGGGTATAATGTGTAATAAGTATGATTTCCATCACCAAGGTAAGAGTTCTTAACCTGGGGTTTACAAACTCCTTGACATTTTATGTAAAGTTCTATGTTATGTGCATTTTCTGGGATGCAGGTCTGTGACTTTCACTATTATCTACTTTATGTTGTTACTGTGGCTAAGAACCACAGTAATAAGGCAATATCAGAAATATTAGAAATACTGATCCAGCTGAGAAGAATGAGATAAGTACACAGTTGAGCTCAGACTTGAGAACTGCAAAATAACTGCTGATAACAAGAGACCAAGGCCTGGTGGCATCTGTTAGTACCAACATTTTAACATTATAGAATTATCTAGAAGTGATACAGATATGTAGGATTAACTTCATATTCTTATTGTAAATTGTCTTTTTCAACGTTACTGTGATTTAAAGGTCAGGCCTAAGACCAACAGACATCTCTTCTTCCTTCCCTTTTGCCCATAGCTCTTCCATACGGTATACTTTCATTCACATAAAACTGATGAATAATTATTTTTAAAATGTGAATGCTCCTTTTAAAAGACCTGTGGGCCAGGTACAGTGGCTCACGCCTGTAATCCTAGCACTTTGGGAGGCAGAGGTGAGAGGACTGCCTGAGCCCAAGGGTTCAAGACCAGCCTTGGCAACTTGGCAAGACCTCGTCTCTACAATTAAAAAACAAAACAAAAAATTAGCTAGGTGTGGTGGTGTATTCCTATAGTTCCAGCTACTTGGAAGGCTGAGGCAGAAGGGTCACCCGAGCCCAGCAGGTTGAGCCTGTGGTGGCCGTGAGTGTGTCATTGCACTCCAGCCTGGGTCACAGAGTGAGACCCCCAATTTGGGAAAAAAAAAGACCTGTGACTTTAAATATTAGCATCATTCCTGTAGTAACCTCCATCTATTCATTTATGAAAGATTTACTGCGTACCCATGTGCTAAGCACTGTCATGCACTGAGAACACAGTAGTGAGCAACATGTGGCGCTTCCATTCTTTTGGGAAGAGCAGACAGTACACATGTCAACAGTAAATTATACACCCTCAGAGAATCTTGAGTGCCGTGAAGGAAGGACAGGTTAATGGACAGACTGTGATGGAGGTGGGGGGTCAGGGAGGTGACATCTGAGCAGAGAGCTGAATGATGAGATCAGGTCATGTGGAAGCTCTGAGGCAGAAGTAAGCTTTGTCTGTCTGAGGAACATTGTAGGAGGCCAGTGAGGCTGGAACACAGTGAACAAGGAGCCAAGTGGGAAGAGATGAAATCACAGCAGTGCTTTTATATCAAGTAGTTGCTGGCTGCGAATTTATTTCTTGTTGATTGCATCATTCCTATAATGATTTCATCTTCAATAAGAACTCTACTATTACATTTTATAGTTTACATATGAGGGTGAATTAGAACAGTGGGGAGGAAGACTGATGCAGCAAGAAGAGAATGTTTTAGCATCAGAAAACTTAAGAATCCAAGGAGTTGCCTGTATTTGTATACTCGGGGCAATTTACCTACCTGCCTGTAGCTTGTTTCCTAGCCTGAAAATGGAAGTCATGCCCCCTCCCACCCTCAGGTTACAGTGTCATCACATGAAATGGTTTGTAGGAAAGGCCCAAAGCCCCAGAAGAATCTCTCAGCATGTATATAGTGGCTAAGAAGCAGAAAGAAAACAAAGGCAGGCAAAAATGATATTAATAATAATGTGTTCACAGTGACACTAAACTAAAAAACATGAGCTATTATTTTGGGCCAAGCTGTGCATTAAGTAAGTTACTCTGTTACTTTGTTTAGTCTTCACAACAACTCACAAGGCAGGTTCTGTTGTTATCCTCATTGTATACAAGAGGAATAGGGAGGCTTTGAAAGGTTATTTGTCCAGGGTCACACAGATATCAAGTCCTAAACTTTAAACTCCAAAGCTCAAGCATTTTATTCAAAGGGAAGTCCTCTGAATTCCCTCACTTATTGCCTATTTATTTTAATTTAGACAAAATTATACTCAACTTGCATATCTGTTTTCCCAGCCCACTGAATTCTAATACCCGTAAGTTAAACAGGGACAGGCAGACTTTAGTGGAGGTGAGCACCCTAGTGACAATAAGATAAGGGAATAAGGAAAACTGTTTTAAGGAACAGAGACACACACACATGCATATCCACTCAAATGAAAACAAAGCGACCAAAAATGAATACAAATAGTGAGAAAAGGGGCACTTTTCCACACCTACAAGACAGTCTTCACATTTAACTGATGCTCATAACAACCCAAATCACAAAAAAAGGACAGATAATTTGTTCACTCTAAGAGAAGTGCATAAGAAATTAACATTTCTGACCCAAATGCTTAAAATTAGAAAAAAGGCCAGGGGCAGTGGCTCATGCCTGTAATATCAACACTTTGGCAGACTGAGGATGGGAGGATTGCTTGAGCCCAGGAGTTCAAGACCAGCCTGGGCAACATAGTGAGACCTTGTCTCCACAAAAACTCAAAAAAGTTAGTTGGTTGTGGTGGCATATGACTGTAGTACCAACTACTCAAGAAGCTGAGATGGAAGGACTGCCTGAGCCCAGGAGGTTGAGGATGCAGTGAGCCGTGACCATGCCACTGTCTTCCACCCTTGATAAGAGTGAGATACCCAGCCGAAAAAAGAAAAAAAAGAAAGATAAAACTTGTTTATATGGAATACCTTATTTCCCAAAGGCACTGGATTAAATAAGACAAAAGTGTCTTTTATTTTTTATTTATTTATTTATTTTTGAGTTGGAGTCTCACTCTGTCGCTCAGACTGGAGTGCAGTGGCCGCTCCCGGCCACCGCAGCCTCGCCTGCTGAGCTCCGGCAATCCTTCCGCCTCAGCCTTCCAAGTAGTCAGAACTACAGGCGCGCGCTACCACGCTCGGCTAGTTTTTTGATTTATTGTAGAGATGAGGTCTCGCCAAGTTGCCCAGGCAGGTCTCGAACCCATGGGCTCAGGCAATTGGGATTACAGGCTGAGCCACCGAGCCCGGCCAAAACTGTCTTTTAAATATTAATATGGCATACATATATAATAGGATTCCATATATATATAGAGTTCAAAACCAGGCAAAACTAAACTATAGCACTGAAAGCTTGATCCCCAGGAGGTAAAAGTGAGAAGTAAAGGCAGTGTTCACTGTTGATGTCAGGAGAGACTTGTGATAGGAAGGAGCCCGTGGGACAGCGATGTTCTATTTTTTGACCTCGGTGGTGACACAGGTTTCCACTCTATAGTAATTCATTAAACTGTAGTTTTATGATTTATGCACTTTTCTATATTCGTGTTATATTTCCCAATGACTAATGTTTAAAAAGAAATTGAACTTAAAAAATAAAACTATATGACTTGCCTAAGTGTGTTTCATGTATTTCACATCACTCTATTCTCTTACCAACCCCTGTGAGGTAGAGAGGGCGAGCTTCCTCCTCCTCATCCTTCACCCATGTGGCCTTCACCCATGTGGCCAGTGGGTGAGCTGGGACTCCCACTCTGCCTGGTGTCTCGGAGTACCCTGCTCTCCTAGCCCCCACCTCATCTTTTTAGACACATTCCAAGAGTATAATATTTTGCTGAGCAATTGTGAAGTCAGTGAATTTTCTTAGGATGGAAACCTCACCTGTCACTGTGTTCTGCTGCAATCTCATGCTTGCTCTGAGAATCGATCTTCTCCTCCCTGACCATGTTAAACCAGGCCCTGAAAGTCGTCTTCTGAAGAAAATGTACACCAAGTTTTCTTACTTCCTCCTCTAGATCAGTCAGGTACTGGGGGACAAGATAGGAATAGAAGTGAGATGGATCATACCAGGGGACAACGAATTAGAGCAAATAAATAGTACAAAAGAGGGGAATTGAAACAGAAACAAAACAAAGGACATTAGAGAGAAAGGGTAACACATAAAGAGAAAGGGTAACACAGCAGCCAAGATAATATCCTGTAATGTAGTATACAAATAATAACAAGAGAAGTATAAACATTTATAAGATTGAAGAGGTAGGTCTCTGATAAAGTCACTTGAGCACTATAAGACAAGAATAAGTGTTTTTTTTAAAAAAGCTGATGTAAATGATACATTATAGTGTATACACACACACTGTGAAAGGAAACACAACACGTGCTTAAGATTTTATACTAATAAAAAATTGATTTGACATTTTCAAGTACACTTTTAAGCAGTGAACTAGATTGACTACTCTTTTTTTGAAAAGACATAATGACTCTGGGCATTCTGGATTCCATTAGTTTTTTTTTTTTTTGAGTTGGAGTCTCACTCTGTCGCCCAGACTGGAGTGCAGTGGCCGCTCCCGGCCACCGCAGCCTCGACCTGCTGGGCTCCGGCGATCCTTCCGCCTCAGCCTTCCAAGTAGCCAGAATTACAGGCATGCGCTACCACACCCGGCTGATTTTTTGATTTATTGTAGCGATGAGGTCTCGCTGCCCAGGCAGGTCTCAAACCTGCGGGCTCAGGCAATCCACTCATCTCAGCCTCCCAAAGGCACGGGATTACAGGCTGAGCCACCAAGCCTGGCTCAATTTAGTTTTCTTAGGAGTGAGCAGTGAGATGTATTTAAAGTGCATTTCCCTTTGGCCTTACCTGTAACCAATTCCGGATGACTCTCCTAAGCAATATCTGGGAATAAAGTTGATCAGCTTGGGCTGTCTTCCTAGCCAAACTTCCCTGACTACACCGGAACCAGGTCAGCAGGCATTTCCTTTGCAGGGCCAAAGAATTATGTTCTTCTGCTACCTGGACAATTTTTCAAATGAGAAAAGGAAATTACTCCTTAAATTTTAAATCACTTAAGGAAACACACGTCACCTTGCCATATAACGGTGTAAACCGCACTTAGGCAATTATCAGAGAAGTGCCTCTTAAGGTACATGCAGTCTATGCCCTAAAAGCTTTGACTGTTGACCCTACTATATGTAAGCGATAGACTCACATCATGCATGGCCTTTCAGTGGCAACTCCCTGAAGACCACAATGACTGGATGGTTATGGAAATGGAATAAAGAACCTCCAGGGCCATCACTTTACTTCCATAGAGTACTACTTCCATAGACAGCAACTCCATCACAAACCTCCCTTTATTATGTATTAACCACTGTCTAATTGAGGAAATGCCAATACTTGCAATTAGTTTTGTAGAATGAGCAGTCATCAGCATTGAAATTTAGGCATTATCAATAAACCACAAAACCATTTGATAGAAAAATAACATGATGAATAATTTAATGCCTTAACTTAAAAGGCTCAGAGTATCATTCTAGCAGAATAAACACACAACTCAGAGTTTATAGATTTTTTAAAGTAACTGTTACATTCTTTCAAGAAGCAGGAGGGGAAAAACCCTTCTCGTTTAGTCCTCTTCAAACTCATCTGGCACCATGAGTGTGATTGATCCGAGTGAGTTTCTTGGCAGCCATATTTGTTGCCCAAAATGACCATCATAGGAAGTCTCTATGGCACCTGAAACTTCTGCCTGCCCAGGCCTGGGAATCAAGAGACAAGATAACATTTTGCCTGTTTTGAACTTCTAGATAGTTGAATGCCCTGTTCTATGCACTGGATAATTTGTAGGGAATTACCAGAAATTTAAGTGGTGTTTGATTTCATCTATCTCTGCAGAAGAGTGGATTAATGTTCCCTGTAATAGAATTACACACCCATATCCTTTGCAATGTGGTTTTCACAGTGCCTTCCTGTGGAGTGGATGGAACCTCCTTCCCTCCAGAATGACCTTGAGCTTGGCTCTGTGATTTACACTGGTCAATGGAATGTTAGTGGACATTATTCAAGCAGAGGTTTCACATGGGTTTAGATAACTTTGGTTTGGCCTTCTGGACCTCTGACAGTGACCAGATGAAAAGCAGGCCCGAGAGCTGCTGGGACTAGAATGAGTGGCTTTGGGAAAGACCTGAACCCAGTCCGTAACTGGCCATAACATGTGAATGAGAAACACCTGAATTGTAAGCCAGTGATTTTGGAGAGGATGTTTGTTATGCAACTTTATCACAGCAGAAACCTGACTAATGCACCTTATGGTAATAACTCTTCTTTCTTAAACTGCTGAAGTTGAGAGAAGCCTTTATTCATCTTACCTCAGTGATCTCTAATAAAACAATTGTTCTAGTTTTTCCCAACCTGTTCAATTACAAGTCTTTCTCTACCTTAGAAGACCAAATCTAAACTCTTATCCCAAACAAAGAAATATGCACCCTCAATTCATTGATCTTTCTGGTTTTCAATCACCAAACTTCCCGCAAAGCCTAACAGGCATCCATCCTCTGAAAAAACTGAAAAGTCAGTTTTCTAATTTTAGGGAGTAATAGTGGGACATTGCACCTGGACGTTTTGCTTGCTTTGCATTCTCAGTCTCTTCCAAGGCTCTAGACCTTTTTTTCTTAGCAAAACCCCTTTATAATGTTCTTTTGCTATGGTTTCCAGCTGCTGATTCCTCTTAATTCTCTTCTGCTTCTCTAGTTCTTTCTGGAAAAAATAAAAGAGCAAAATGCCATGATTAAAAAGAAAAAAACCTAATGAATTTCATTTCATTAGAAAGCTAATTAACTTAATTTGAACATGTAACCACTAAAGAGTGTATTCATCATGATAACAGAGCTCTGGAACATTAAAAAAAAAAAGGCAACAGTTCTGCTAAGAGGGTTAGGAGAAGACGGTTACAAGTCTTACAATAATCAGGGCTATGCATATTCTTGGGTTTATTCAGTATTGTTCACAGAAATGATTTACCTTTACCAAGTTACCAAAAAGCAAAGCATCTAGTAAGGAGAGCGGTCAGAATTTTTTCCCTCATTATTATGAAAGACCTAACAATGTAGCCCCTTCATTTAAATTTTGGAATAGAGATTCATATACAAATAACCCTGTTCAAATGTAAAGATACTCCATTTAGAATCTAGAAGAATATTCCTAGTGCTGAGCTGTTTTCTTTTTAAGTGATGAACAATGAGCCCAGAGGCAAGTTAGAAGTATTAGAGCTTCATTAAGCAGCCTTCCCTCCTCTGAGGAGGAGAAAGATTAACTATCCCTGGCTATGCACTGAAAAAGTCCATACCCCTCAAAGAAGAACTGTACCCCCGGGGGGGTGCCTGAGAAAGAGAACAGAAATTTAATGGTCTACCCTTTAAATGCCATTATTTCTTTTCTTTTTTCTCTATAAAGGTGAGAGAGAAAAAAATCTACCCAGAAGTTGTGAGTGGGAGCAAGTGACACCTGCTACGAAAGCAACAAAGACTTCTGACTGCCTGCACAGTCAGCATCTTGTAGTATAAAATACAGAAACATTTAATTCAAGCTTATTTTTCTTCCCACACTTCCACATGAGGAAAAGGGCAGCAGTAAATTGGCTGATTGTGACAAGCTACTACTTGATGTGCCTGAGCCCTCTGTGAGAAAAAAAAAATTATGGAGAGAACACTGGAAGATTTCTAATATGGAAGGCAGAATTGCTCTGACCTTCCAACGCAAACTACCTATTTCTATACAAGTTCCTAAAAATGAAATGTCTGTATTCTCTGAAATCCTAAACCAAAATAAGCTTTATAGTCTTTATTCCAGACACTTGAGATACTTGCTGAATGGAATGGCCAGAAATAAAAGTTAATTACAACAGTTTTCTCACGAGTAAGAAGGGGAAGCTGAAGGTTAAGTGGGGAGGAAAACAGAAACCGACCACCTCCATATCCACTGAAATGTCCCTGTAGCATCAAGGCAGCAACTACAACTTACAGACAGACATCTAACCCAGGCACTAACCTCTTGGAGAAGCCCTTGGGCTCAGCCAGAGAACCTGTTCCTATGCATAGGCAAGTTATGTATAACTATGCACCTAGAATTATAACTCTGTGGTTGCTGGTCTAGGCTCCAAAAGGAAAATTCGTTTAAGATGAATTGTGGGGAAAAGCAGACTTTTAGAAGTTGACATTTGCACAGAAAAATATTAAAAAAACCATTTATTGAGTTCTGCTTGAGTCAAAATGTTGTAGTCTTCCACAGTGATTTAATTCAAATGTGTATTTATTTCCTCCCTCAGTTAAGGATTCCTCAATAGAGCCGGTTGTATTTCATTAATATTACCACATTTTCCATTTCCTTGTACATAAAATGTCTATAATAGCACCTGCATCTATGATTCACTTGAAGATTACATGATATGATGCTGTCTGTTGTGAGATAGCACCTTTGTTGGGGATACATGCAGTGTTTCATAGAGCACACAGTTCACTCAGGCTAAAAAGGGATACAAAATCTGGGTCTCTCTCTTTGACTTAAATTATGTTTTACATAATTACAAATGGCTTGCAAAAAATAGGATTCATTTAAATGTGTACCTGTATCAACTACTATGCTTTGAGAGAAAGGTCAGGAAATACAGCTCTGTTAAGGAAAGTACAGGGCAGTCATCACTGCCCCAAAATTCTCTCCTTCCGTCCATTATAAGCTACCCTTCCATGTGCTCCAGAATATCTTCCTGCTTGCTCAGTCCTGTAATTTGTAACCTTTGCTCTCTTGCATATTAATTTCTCCCTCACTGCTGGATCAATCCTATGTGTATGAGTATGCAAACATGTGCTGGTATCTCCCATCTTTAAAAAAAATGAACATAACCAGGTGCGGTGGCATATACCTGAAGTACTAGCTACTCAGGAGGCTGAGGCAGAAGGATCGCCTGAGCCCAGGAGGTCAAGGCTGCAGTAAGCCATGATCCTGTCACTGCACTCTAGCCTGGGTGACAGTATGAGATCCTGACTCAAAAAAAAAAAAAGAAAGAAAGAAAGAAAAAAAAGAAACAGAAAAAGAAAAGAAAGAAAAAAATATAACCACCAATAAAAAATTCCTTCTTTCATTTCATGGGATCCCCATCTTTACTCATGGTCTCCAGTTCCTCCTCTCTTCTCTCCTCAGCCCACTGCAGTGAGGCTGCCTTCCCAGTACACCTCCAAAAGCACTCTTGTCTAGGTCATGAACTCTTTCCAGGTTCCAAAGTCAGAGTCACTTATCTGTGCTCCTTAATTGACCAGTAGCACTTAGCTTGGTTTACTACTCCCCTAACAGAAATACTTTCTTCTCTGTTTTGATTCTAAATTCTCCTGTTCTCCTTGTACCTCACTAGCACCTTATCCTCTGAATAATTATCATATTCCTTAGGGCTTGGACCTGGACTCTCATCATCTCTATCCAGATAATCTCCCAAGTTGATTTCAGCTACTTTCAGAGCATTAAAAACATTGACATGGTTTTTTCTTCCATATTCCTTACTACAGTCTTGCCCAGGCTTATATATCCAGCTGCACATTTGACATGTTCATCTACATGTCTACTGGGTATCTCACATTTAACATGCCCTGGTGGACACTGCAGAGGCCTCCTCAGCATCTGCTCAGATATCACCTCCTCAGAGAGGCCCTTCCCATCCTGCTTCCCCCATTACAAACCTTTTCCTCCCTACATCATTAGTTGTTAACTTGTTTACTGCCTGTTTCCTCAACTAGCATATAAGCTTTCTGAGGGCAGGGCTGTTGTCTGTCTTCTTCATTGCTCTACTCTAACACCTAGAACAATGACTAACACAGAGTAGATACTTTATAGATATTTGTTCAGTGGGTAAATATGCTTGTTAAACAATTATGGAAGACTTCAAATCTTGCCTCATCTTTTCTGATAAAACTGTCTTTTCTTTTCTTTTTTTTGAGTTGGAGTCTCACTCTGTCGCCCAGACTGGAGTGCAGTGGCTGCTCCTGGCCACCGCAGCCTTGACCTGCTGGGCTCCGGCGATCCTTCCGCCTCAGCCTTCCAAGTAGCTGGAACTACAGGCGCGCGCTACCACGCCCGGCTAAGTTTTTGATTTATTGTAGAGATGAGGTCTCGCTTGCCCAGGCGGGTCTTGAACCTGCAGGCTCAGGCAATCCACTCACCTCAGCCTCCCAAAGGCATGGGATTACAGGCTGAGCCACCAAGCCCGGCTGAGAACTGTCTTTTCAATCACAAACTTCAACTGTATAAATATGTTTTGAACATGAAAGTAACCTCCTGATAAGTATATGCATTTAATAAAAACAGAGCAATGGGATGATAAAAGGAGGTTAGATTTTTATTTCCAGGTCATTGTGTGAGACCTGTGAGTGGCCATCTTACTGCTGTACCTGACAGAATTTTCCAGCAGGGCCACAGAGACACCAGCCACGGCGATGTCTTACCCTGTACTATCTCTTTCTGAATACAGAGGACAAGGTTGTTATGGGCTTTATCCCTGAGGAATTCTCTCAGTTCCTTTATCCTAAAACTGTCACAGGACCCTATACACACATAACTGGGCTTATCTTACATTTTCTATCCAAAGAAATATGTGTGATTGCCCCAGGAACCTCCTATACCATATCAACAGTAAAGTTGCTTATCTGTGTTATTAGGGATATACAGTACACCTGTTGGACAATTTGCTGGTAAACTCAATGAGCAAAAAACTGCTCTTCTAGAAGAAGTGAAGCAGACTTCGATCAAACACATCTAAGTTGCAATTGATTCAGAGAAGTGACAGCAGGCACTGGTTCAGAAGTACCATGATCTTTTTGATGTCCAGAGGAATAACATTGCTATGGCCTTGGAGGTTGCTTACTGGGAACAGCTATATAAAGTATATAAGGAAGTAAAGAATTGTCAGGCAATGATGCATCAAAAGGGATAAGACCACATGATAAACTGAGTGGAGAAGCACATTGTACAAAGAATCTTTGCTCAGAAGGAAAATGAGGCAATTGCCATGTGCATTTTAGATCTAAAGCTGTTCTCAAAGAAGGTTCAAGCACAGCCAGTCTATAAATGCATCTTTTTTAATTTAGATAGCTACAGTTGACTAACTAAATGGAAACTAGTCTATGTGACAAAATCTTTTGGTCCATTGCAATGGACTGAAGTTTCCTTAAAAAAGAAAAAAAAGATTTAAGCTTGGTATAGTGAAATAAATAAAACTGTATCTTGGCCAGTAATGTATTTTTCATCATTCTTGGTCTGTATAAGCTGTTTGCTTCCAACAAGAAAAAAGCTGGACAGATAGCAAATTAATGACTTTTTGAGAGGTGATCAGAGACCTGAAGCTATTACCTATAAATCTGGAGAGATGGCACCTTCAGGGAGGCACAGGTCTTATGCACTTACTTACCTGAGGCAGAAACCACCAGACAACATATGAACCAATACAACGATTAAACCAGAAATGTTGGGGGCTGAGTGGGCCAGCATGAGTGGGTGAAGCTCCTGAGAATCATAGTTGTGGGGTGGTTCCCACTCTTGGGCAGGCTTTTCCTCTAGGAACCCCAACAGGCTCTCAGAGAGAGGATCAGGGAAAATAAAATTTAGAGCAGGAATCAATGAAATTGAAAACAGGAAAACAACAAAGATATTCAATGAAACTAAGTTGGTTTTTTAAAAAGAAACAAAACTGATATATATCCAGGAAAATCGAGAAA